CGTATGGTGAGATCCATTATTCTTAATTTAATCATCACCAAATTTGATAAGAAAGTAAGCTCAACCAAACAATGATAAGATTTTATGCTCATTAACTTGACTTTTAAAAGCAATCTCGTCATACGAATTGTATTTATTTATTAACGAAAATAAAATAGTACCTTTTTCTCTTTCTATTCTTGCTCTACCTTCTCCTGTTGGCCTCATTCTTCACTTTCCTTTTTGCATTTGTTCTCGTCTTTCATTTTTTTCTCACACTTTTGCTTTTTTATCTACCCTCTCTTTGTCTTTTTCTCCTTCCAATTCATTTTCATTTTCATATTTTTCTTCTGTCTCTTCCACTTCAATTGCCCTTTCGTGCTCGTCTTTTCTTCCTCTTTTCTCACTCCTGCTCTCCTCATACTAAGCTTTCTCCTTCTCTTCTTTTTCTCTTCTCCTTCCTACTACTCTACATCCACCATTTTTCTTTCTTGTCTTCTTACGCTTATTCCTTTTCGACTTCATCCTTGTCCTCTCATCCCTTCTCACTCATCCGTCGTTCGAATTTGCTTGTACCACACACCCACTTTCTCCTCTTCATATGTTCAGGGCATCCGCGGACTGGACGGTAAAATGGGTCGGCCAGGCCAACCCGGTATGAAAGGCGACCAAGGACCCCACGGACGAGATGGGCAAAGAGGCAGAAAAGGACTCAAAGGAAAATCTGGAGTAAGACGAATCTGATTGTTCGACTTACCACATAAGTTCATGCAAATTGCGGACTTGCTTTGCAATAAATATACGAAGGAAATGCGGGTTTTAAATAATACTTTGTAAGAATTGATACCTTTTTTTGCTTTAAGAGCCTCACCTCTACTGGCTTTAGTCATTCGTATGCATTAGTTACGGTCACTAGGACATGATACAGCAGAGGATGATGGAGACAGGAAAGAAATTGTTGATCAAATGCGATCAACCAGCAACGGAGACACTTAAGTTTCACTCTGTAACTGTTTTCTCAAAAAAGTTCTCCTTAATTTCAGTCAGGCATGTCGGTCTGAATGGATGTCTGGGATGGCATGTAACAAAGCCAGGATTGAATTGTACCACAATTGGCCAAGTATGAAAAGAGTTTTAGAATCGCTTTTGTCTGACCTCGTTATCACAAAGCCCACCTTGTACATATCCTCATCAAATCTTGGAATGTGGACTTTGTAGACTGCTGAACCCTTGCTGCCATCTCAATGGAGAGAGTCAAAGTTGATGTCGGTATGATTGTTCAATTTTCACAGGATGCCATGAAATTTCATAGCTTCATCTGCCCCAAAAGTGGTATCATCCCGATTCAACCGTGGCTTCCACCTCGCCTATGATGAGATAAAATAGCATAGCATAGAATATAATTTTGGGAAAATTCAATTATTGTTGAGCTTACTTCCATTTCGAGTGAAAATGGTTGGATGAAGAGATTCGAAGGTTGGTTTGACCAGAAGCCGACGACGGATTACTCTTGACCAGCTGTCGATTTGCGTTACTGGAACATTCATGCTGAGGCTGTTTCCGAGGCAATCTCCTTCGATTCCGGTAAAAAGGTGCCAAGCTTCTGTGAGTCATATGACGGACATCATCAGAGCGGGGTACCATCGTCACAACCAAATTCAAGCTAACGAGTCAAGAAGACTCATCGGCAAATCCCTAAAAAGTGGTATATATACTCTACATCTTGATCAAGTATAAAGTGATTTGGTTAGTTAAGGTCAAATGTCAACTTCGATGCCTGTAAGTGTGTCTGTATCTGTATGTGTATGTGCATGTGCATGTTTGTGTTCGCTTATGCACGAAACCCGAAGTGATGGCTCACAGTATTTAGGGCAACAAAAAGAAACGTCTGTTTTTGGTAATCAAGGTTTGATGAAATGGAAGTAAGCTCAACAATTATGAAACAACAGATTCCTCGAAACCCAACTTTTCTTCGTAAAATTCAATCATCTGGCCACCATTTCATGCGACCTAAAGTGCCCAGAATTCATTGATGGTCTCGAAATCGACTTGCCTTAAACACGGTACCAGAATACCTAGAACGCTTTGACGATTTCACCGCCAATTCAACGATACATGCCAATAATTGTTGGGCTCACTTACATTTTGAAGGAGAGTGTGGTTTAAGAAATATTAATTTCAATCTCATTGGAGGACGGTTGCGGTTTCATTTTGGTTAGCAGCTATTTGGATGTACTGAAACCTCGCGGTTGAATTAGTTGTAGGATGATAGTCTGCTCTGATAATGTCCATTGCAGAAAAAACAAAAGCTCATCACGTTTTCACCAGAATCGAAATTGATCAGTTCATAGAAAACCACAAGAAGAATGTCCAAAAGCAACCCATCTTCGTCTTATACTAAAGCGAACCATTGAATCTCTTTATGAGGCACATTTTCACTATAAATTGAAGTAAGATCATCAATTTTCAACAAAAAGAGTACTCTACACCCAACTTATACTCGTAAATATCATTTTGAATATGGCATAAAACATATTCTTTTAACCACATTTTTCCTCGCAGATATGATATAACCGAGAGATCTGATATAATTTCTGCACTAAACCTATTTCCCCTTTTCCCACAATATTAGAATTAGACCTCATGTTTTCATTGAATTTCTCGTAATCTTACTTCCTAAATGTGGTTTGTAATATATGCGAAGAAAAGTTGGCTTTCGACGAATCTCTTGTTTCATAATTGTTGAGCTTACTTACATTCCGAGGGAAAGTGTTGCATGAAGAGATTCTTTGGTCGGTTCCACCAGAAGACGACCAGCTGTCGATTGGCTTTACTGGAACATTCATGCGGACGCTGTTTCCAAGGCAATCTTCTGCGATTCCCGTGAAAAGGTGCTAAGCTTTCGTCCATCAAGTTACGAACATCATCCAAAAAAGTTATCAGCGTCACAACAAAACTCAAGCTGACGAGTGAAGAAAACTCACCCAACAATTTTACTCGAAATGGAAGTAAGCTCAACAAATATGTGGTTGGATTATCGACCAAGCAAATTTGTACTTGTCAATATCATACTACTTATTTTCCGTTTATAAGTAGGTTTTAGAGACGATCAGTACAATTCAACTACCGGGTAAATACAGCTCTTATAATAGTCTTCATTGTATAGAAGTAGTTCGAATTCGTTTTTTCCACTTTTTCGTGTTGCCAGGACGATCAAGATGAACGCCCATTGATC